GGAACACAAGCTGTCATATATTTCCCATAAACACACAATAACAAAGGTGGTGACAAACGTATACTGGGACATATACTCGTTAATGAGACATAAACCAGGTGAACTACAGGTGAGTATGCTCCTAGTATTTACCTGTGTGGCCAATGAGTGTGGTCTTCTAACACCCCGTGAGTGGCTGAGTTCAACCCTCTTACATATCACTATTATTGGCGGTACAGTTTCGTTCAAGATTCTTCCAACACTGCTGTTTACACCTTCCAACTCAAGGCCGTTTGTTTACTATAGTACGTAGTATAATATAATGCGAAACAACAAAGCCCAACCATTAATTAAGCAACAGGGAACTAAGTAACCAATCACCGATCACTTTTACATTCATTCATAACTTTTATTACGTACTATAGTAAACAAACGGCCTTGAGTTGGAAGGTGTAAACAGCAGTGTTGGAAGAATCTTGAACAAGACTGTACGTTCTTCTTCTTCTTCTTCTTCTTCTTCTTCTTCTTCTTCTTCTTCTTCTTTCTTCTTCTTCTTCTTCTTCTTCTTCTTCTTCTTCTTTTCTTTTCTTCTTCTTCTTCTTCTTCTTCTTCTTCTTCTTCTTCTTCTTCTTCTTCTTCTTCTTCTTCTTCTTCTTCTTCTTCTTCTTCTTCTTCTTCTTCTTCTTCTTCTTCTTCTTCTTCTTCTTCTTCTTTTCTTCTTCTTCTTCTTCTTCTTCTTCTTCTTCTTCTTCTTCTTCTTCTTCTTCTTCTTCTTCTTCTTCTTCTTCTTCTTCTTCGGTATTGACTTGAACTGTGTCAGTCTTGGTTCATGGATGACCTTCTCTCTCTAGCAACACAACACAACACAACACAACACAACACAACACAACACAACACAACACAACACAACACAACACAACACAACACAACACAACACAACACAACACAACACAACACAACACAACACAACACAACACAACACAACACAACACAACACAACACAACACAACACAACACAACACAACACAACACAACATAACACAACACAACACAACACACTCATCATCTCAATTTATGGGGACAATATTTTCCTGAAGTTATCCTCGAATATAAATTACAGTAAATCAAATTCAAATGTTTTTGTTGTGATTATTGACATATTTACTTCAGTTAACGTTATTTATTATTAAAAGAGACAATAACTAAGTCGATGAAGGTCCCTGAGGGGAGGTGCTCATGTTTATAATCATCGCTATATGACAACAGTTTAGTCCTTCAGGTACACAAGCATTAAGATGGCTCAGGTGCTCAGGTTTGTATATTTTCTCGCCGCTTCACCTTTAACTTCCTCGTTCGGTAATGGTCTGACCGGCAGTCTACAGTTGACCCTGTTAGGTCGTTGGGGATGACCTCCTTAAGGCGTGACCTTGACTCTCCCATAGGACTTTCCCTGGCGTGTGTCAGTGCTCGGCGCTGTATATATAGCAGGAGGACCTGAGCTCATCATCACACAACCTCCAGCTTCCTCACCAACATGAACCCCATCTTCCTCCTCCTCCTGGGTATGACGTCATCACTCACGTGACAGCCATAGTTTGTCGTGCACACTTTTATAAGGTTGTGGAATTTAGATATTGATGATAATTATTCTCTAGTTATTGATATCCAGGAAAAGTTTCTGTGTAGAGAGTTAGTACAGACACATGTTTTAACACTAATATTGTTACAGTGGCAGCAGTCAACGCCGCCCGCCTCAACGGCGGCGCCCCCTCCACCAGCTATGGTGCTCCCCCCGTCAATGGTGGATACTCCTATGGCGGAGATCTGCAGGGGGCTGCCTCCTCCTTGGACGAGGCTGTAGAAGACCCCATAGCCGCCCTGGCTGCCCTCATCCCCGGCGGCGGCGTCCCTGGTGAAGACTACCCGATCCTGGCCTCTGTACCCGACACCGGCTTCTCCTGCGAGCAACAGGAGTTCCCAGGTTACTTCGCTGACACCGCCGACGAGGCCGGCTGCCAGGTCTTCCACATCTGTCAGTTCGACGGCCGCCAGGACTCCTTCCTGTGTCCCAACGGCACCATCTTCAACCAGCAGTACTTCGTGTGTGACTGGTGGTTCAACGTGGACTGTGCCGCCTCACAACAGTTCTTCGGCCTCAACGCTGAGATCGGCAAGATCCCTGAGGACGCTGTCGCTGCCTCCTCCGACTTGTCTCTGGCGACCACCTACGGCGCCCCACAGACACAGGCTCAGGCCCCTGGTCAGCTGTACAACACACCCGCCAGGTTCTGATGACTCACTTCCCCATACAGTAATACTCTCAAACTCTTCCGTATCAAATCATCAGCCTCTCCAACTCACATAAAATCAAATTCAAACTGTATTTATAAACTTAATGTATTAATAAATTATGATATAAATATTATTGTATATTACCCCATATATAAAACACTACTGTAGGCCTAATAATTATTAATCTCAAAAAAGTTAAATTTCATCTGAAAAAAAAAAGAATTGAATT